CCGGTGGATTTACTTCCATCATTTTGGTGCTCTCGTTGAGAGGCAAAAATACTTTTAGGCAATTTCAGACGCTGCAACAATTGATATTACCAGGGCTGAGAAGGATGTACCTGCTGATGGACACACTGCATCCAACTCATCGGGCCAGGACCTTCGTAACCGACTCAGTCGCCCTGCGGTGGTTCCCGTAGAAGTGCCTGGTATCCATGCTGTCATTCTAGGGATGACCAGGATGTTGGGTGCTCTTGCGAAGGACGTACGCCGTGCAATTCCTGGCACTCAAAAGCCTCCTCAACCACATGGAACTCAAGCTCCAACAAATCATCCGGTGGTGGAGATGGAAGTGACATCACCAGCGCCATCTCAAAAAGATGGAGAAAGAAGAGAGGGGTGAGGGATCCCTGTCCCTTCGAACCAACTAGCTCGAAGTGAAACCTCAGTGTTTAGCAGGTTGGGAGACCGACGACGCTCTGCTAAAGATCGTCTCGGACGATCACACTATGTAGAGAAAGAAAGGGATACACAAAACCACCGTGGACGACGCGACCATGATGAGGAGGAGCGTGCACGAGTTCCCAGAGTCACTCATGTGACTGTAGTCACCATTCACTTGGACACTTGACTTGGACACATGACTGAGCATGTCGGTGGGACTGAAAAACGTTCACGAAGACCGAGGAACGCAGAAGTAGAGGACGGTGGCAAGAAACATGTGACAATACACGTAGACAAAACGAAGAATGATCTGAATGATGTGGAGGTGAGGAAGCTATGGAGAAAAATTGAAGACCTGCAGCAACGTGCAGATGCAGGAGATGGACACACAGACGCTAAACTGAAGACGATGACCCCGTTCACCACACGGATCATGGCGTACCCGTTACCAATTGGCTTCAAGGTGCCCCATGTCAAGGCCTATTCAGGAACCTCGGATCCCCAGGAACATTTGTCACGTTATTATGCTAATATGATTATGATTGGGGCGTCAGAGGAAATAATTTGTCGGTGTTTCCTAGCTACGTTGGAGGGAACTGCGTGTGAGTGGTTCAATTCTCTCCCACATGGCTCGATTGATGAATGGGAGGACTTAGCACAAAGGTTTCTTCAACACTTTGCCCCGAGCAAAAGAACCAAACAACACTACTCACACCTCATGACCGCGAAGCAGAAGAAGAGCGAAGACTTAAAAGATTTCGTGATACTGTGGAGGAAGGAGTCTGCTTCCGTGCATGGGGTGGATGACCAAACTCGCCTTGCCATGTTCCAGGCAGCGTTACGAGCTAGGGAGTTCGCCTCAAGTCTCATTCGGGATCCGCCAAGGTCGTACCATGCAACCCTTCAGAGAGTCGACCGATACGCCGATGCGGAGATTCGAGAGGTGCAAGAGAAGAAGGACGAATCATCGGAACCTTGGAGGGAAGGGTCTACCCCTCACCACAAAAAGCTAAAGAAAAAAAAAAGAAGGATTTCAATTATGGTCCAAGGCAGATTGCTAATACAAGCCCGATGCCCGTAACTCATCTTGTGGGCACGATCTTGGACTATGCCGAGCATACGGGTCTCATGCAAGGACCGAGGCTGGAGAGTGAAGTGTACGTTGTCTCCGGTGCTAAAAAGTATTGTCGCTATCACCGGGTTGGTAATCACGACACGGAGGAGTGCTTTACCTTGAAGCGAGAGATCGAAAGGCTGATCCAAAGGGGTTATTTGAGTAACTTCGTCAAAGGAGCTACGCAGGAGCCCAACTACGTATGGCGGAAATCTTCAGAACAAGTGGCGTGCACGCAGCAGGAGACCCGAAGGGCAGAGAAAAGACACATAGGAAATGAGAGTGACGAGGAAGCCTTAGATGAGCCAGGGCCGAAGCGGGACAAGAGGCGCCATGACATCAATTTCATTTATGGAGGTAATGCAGGCGGGGACTCTTCGTCCCTTCGAAAGAAATGGGCTCGCCAACTGTACATTGGTGAGACCATTCCTCACCGTTTTTGGTGACACCTGAAATGGTTAATTGATAATTAATTACGAACTTTTTCAAATTTCAAATAACGTAACCGAAACTTCTATAAATTGACATAAATATTTTTATCAATGATGAATTTTTTGAAGCGATAAGGACGTGTTGGACCGAATCAAACTTATAGTTGGCGGACATTTCACTGGGGATTGGGGGACTTACACGAAGGTTGACCCCAGGAAAAATTAAATGATTTTTCTCGGCGTAAATTCAGTAACTTAAATTTGACAAATGCTATATAAATTTTTTAATAAAGGGCCAACATCGATGGAATAAATCACAAGAAGATGATATCCTGAGAGCATATAATTCAAGGATCTCGAAGTGGATGAGACCCACTTTTAGGACCGCCCGAGATACCGATAAAAAGTCTGGATTCCTTTCCGATGAAGTTTGGAACATCCTTGTTCGTCATTGGGCTTCAGATCTGAATTTTTTGAAAAGAAGCAAAACCGGTAAGCAAAACCGGAATTCCAACAAAGCCAAGGAGACACAATGGCGCGGGGGCCGCAAACCCCAGGATAAGCATAGAAAAGATTTGGTAAACTCTAATTCATGAAAACTTGGTACCATTACAACCCTTCATATATATATATATATATATATATATATATATATATATATATATATATATATATAATAATTTTTAAGTAATTTGAAAACGTGCAAGAAAAATTGGGACCCGTGAAAAAGAAGGTCACGACGTGGGACCTGATTAAACATTGCTGGACGAAGGGCGACGAGTTGCCACCACCTTGCATCTTCGAACTTGAAGTAAATAACGTAACTTCAATTATTCAATAAATTTCGAAATAAATTTGATCTTAACTATAATAAAATTTTGAACACGTAGGCGAAGTATCAGGCAGAATTGGAGAAGAAACATACTGAGCTGAGTGACTCGGATGCCGAACTCGATGAGAGTCAGGATGATGAGGCAATTCTGGCGGTTGCTGGTATTTACAAGGGCCGGGTTCCGTGCATGGGTGCTGAAGGTGTACAAATTTTGCACAGCTCCAGAGGAGCTAGTTCATCTTCTCGACCGGGGGTTGATGAAGCACAGATTGCCCAACTGGAGAGAGAATTGGAGGAACAGCGGGAAGAGGATCGGAGAACAAGAGGCAGGCTGGAAGCGATGGAACGCCAAATGCATCGATTCAACGTGACACGTTCGGCCTCAAATGCATGCACTCTGAGACGACTCCTCAAATTTCTTTCATGGGCAATCTAGGTTTTCATTCTCGCCCCAGGATAAACGTGTCTTGAATGAGTTTTTTTTTTCATATTATTATTATGACCAACCATTTCAGACACCCGGAGGCGAAGGCAGCCGCGGAGGCAACCGATCGAGGATGCAAATGAGGTGGCATGCGACCCGAAGAGTCCGAACAGCCTAATGATGATGATGTCTTGTTTGATTATGATGACTATTTGTATCCCAGAAATCTCCCGAACTTATAATAATACCTAGTTGAATTTATCTTTGAATTTTTTTTAAATTACTGTGATTGGATGAATTTGTTTTCTATTTAATTATTATAATGATTCTACATCAATTTTATTTTTAATTTTTTTTAAATATAAAATGTTTGTCACGGAAACGTTTCGTGGCAAACGTTATCGGACTTACAGTTTTGTAATTTTTAACTTTTTTTAAAAAAATATAAAACGTTTGTCACGGATTGTGTCCATGACAAATTTGAAAAAACCATCCCCACTCTTCTCTGTTCGAAAATTTTAAAATTTTTCTTTTTCCTAATTTAAAAAAAAATAATAAATAGTTGTCACAGATTCCATCTGTGACCAAATGAATATTTCAAATTTCTTATTCTCCGCCCAGCCCGTTTGTGAAAATTAAAAAAAATGTCACGGATAAATCCGTGACAAATGAGAACCAGGACAATACTCCAGTGACAATGTTGTCACGGATTCTGTCTGTGACAAATTCGTGACAAAGCTTGTCACTGATCCGTTTCCGTGACAAAATTTTTGTCACACCCCGTTTGTCACGGATGAAGGTTGTGACAAAATTCGCGACAATTTTTTTCCCACAGATTTTTTACACTACGGGCCATGACAAAATCCGTGACAACCCCCCTGATTTTTTTGTAGTGATTGAACAATAATTATTACTCCGTATTAGTATATTTAAGAAGTTCAACATGTCATGTATTAAAAAAGAACACATTCTCCTAAAATAACTTGAACAATATAGATATAATTAAGTGAAAAGTGATCTGTAACAAGAATAGGTAAAATTATTCAAACAACATAAATATAAAATATTTATCTTTAATATGATATTGTGTATTCAGACATTTTTATAATTTTAAAAAATATTTGAAGAGGAGATCGCATGTTCAAGTCTCATCCCAATGAAGGATGTTGGCATTAACATGGGCATATACTATAATTGGTTAAGAATGTTAGAAAAAAAATTGAATAAGACTTTCGGACAAAGTTGTGTGCCTCGACTCGTGTTGTTGTTGGTCTCTTTGAGTTTATTGTAACGATTTGAATCCTAATTATATTAATATTAGCAGTTTGAGGAAGCGGTTCAGCTTAGCTGGTCGCCGACTCACTCTCCCTAATGAGGGGTCCCGGGTTCGAAATTCAATGGAGTATATTTCAGCCCAGTTTATTCTAGGCCCCCAGCCCTCCTCCCCAGATGCCCTGGAGTAAAAGAAAATAGCAATTTTTCTGTTCAAAAAAGTCTTAGCACACACAATTATTTAAAAAATAGTGTGTTTTACATTTCTAAGGTAAAAAACATACAAATACTTTTTTATGTAATTATTACAAGCACTTTTTAATTGTGGTGAGAAAAGATTAAAATGGGTTCATTAACCATTTAACAAAGTCATAAGCTCACTAATTTGGCAAGCTTCTTAATTCTATGACTGTTACCGTGACACTCTCAAGGATAAATTGCAAACACATTTCAATCAAAAATGTCAAAAATGTTGACGTTTAAGAGAAAGAAAAGATAAATTGCACCCCATAAAGAAAACTCACTTATTTGGTTTGGAATCTGCTTTTCATTCCGGTGGCTAGCCTTAAGTAGTAACCCACCTCAACCTCAGGCTCGGGTTTATGGGCGTATATCGGTCTGTATATCCGTTAGCATTGACTTTCACCTTCTTTCTATGAGAGAAGGCCTCTCCTCACAGTCTTAGCTCACTCAGGGTGTCCGAAGTTCAGATTGCTGAAGATGGGAACTAGGGTTCCTGTGCAGCACTACGACCTGAGGCCGGACGCTGTCTCCTACATCCAGAGCCCACTTGACGACCTCAATGCGGGGGAGGGACTCGGCGGAGCTAGTGACGATATGGACCGAGGAGGCGGGGATATCACCGAGGAGAGTCTGGATAACGATGAAGAATCCACCGCCGTTGTGAGCATTACCTTCTCTACTTAAATTTTTTGCTGTTGTTTATTCGAAATTAAGTACAATTCTAGAAATATGGCTACATGAATTTTGCGGCACTCTGAACTGAGTAACTTCCTCTTGGCCATCAGGTTCGATGACGGGAGAGTAGTACCCCACATATCAGACACCAATACACCATCTTTAACTGGTCTCAAACTTTTTGGTAAACTCTTTGAATCTGTGGCATTGAATAACTCTCGAATTCTAGTTTCGTTCCAATTCCGCCCATCCTTTGTCAAAATAGAAGCGACATTCATGTCCTTTACTCCTTATGGACGAGAGGAAGTTACTCTCCCGTCATCGAACCTGTGTAAGAGGCGAAAACCAACACCTGGATGATTAATAAAAAAAACTATTAAAAGACTTGGAAAGACAGATGAACATTGAAGAGTTTTAAAACCTATCGTTTTGTTAGTCCAAAGTCACAACCAACACCACCATCTTTCTAACTACAAGTGAATATGAAGAAGCTGTTCCCTTCTCTGACAGAGTTTAGTTGTGCTCACTTGGATCTGCAATGTAATATAACCATCACTATTAAACTTATATGTTTTAAAAGTTAACAGTTAACAACTTAACACAGCTCTTGTGTAACACAGTTGCCAGTTTTTTTTTTATGCGTTAAAGGCCAACATGCATAATTTGATTTAACTATCCAAGGTCTATCAGAGCTGGGAGGAAGATAAGATTGTGAAAGTATGATGGTCAGAGGAAAAATCCAAACTTCCTGCTCAAGAGAGCTTAGTTCTTCAAAAATGAGCATATTAAATCATCATCATTACCCCAGTGCCGCAAAGGCTCCCACCTACGGTCAAGGTTTATAAAGGCGGGTTCGGGTATCGAGGCGGTTTTTTCCGGAGGAGAGGCAAGGCGTAAGCCTCCAGGTGTATTGAGGCGTAGGCCTCAAAATATACCAATAGATGAAACATATAATAGTTAAAACTAATAATAAAAATCTAAAGAAATAGATGATTATAAGTCCAAAAAGTATCACACACAAACACAAGTTTAAACACAAGCCATTAATCATCAGATGACAAATAATCAACCAAAATATTTTCCTCATCATTGGTTAGGGATCTTAATTTAAGGATTCCATCTTTCATCTTGTCAAACCTTGACCAGTTCTAGGAAAAGATGACCAACAACTTAGTACAAGAAGAAAGAGGAGAGAAGGAGAAGATAAGAGAATTAATCCAGGAATTTCTTAAGTCACGACCTATTAAAAGACTTGTTAGGGGTTTAGTTTGGACAATGGATACATGTTTCATGTATGGGTCTTTTATTAAATACTACTTAAATTAATCCAGGGATTTCTTAAGTCACAGTCTATTAAAAATATATTACCTCCGTCCCGGTGGACTTTGCCAAGTGCAAAGTTGGTGAGAAATAAGAATAGTAAAAACTGTGTGGTTGAGATTTGTGCAGAGGAGAGAGAAATGTGCAGAACCACAAATTAGTTGCTTTAATAGGAAAGTGGCAAAGTTTTTTGGGACAACCAAAATGGCAAAGTTGGCAAAGTCCAATGGGACGGAGGGAGTACAAACTAAGGAACCCACGCCTCAAAAAACGCCTCAAGGCACGCCTCAAAAGTTGAGGCGTAAGCCTTTTGAGTTTTGACATGCGATAAAAACCTAAGCCCTGATGCATTCTCTATACGCCTCAACTTGAGGCGCGCTCTGTAAACGCCTTTTTAAACCATGCCTACGGTGGGGTAAGGGGGGTCGGATGTACGTAGTCTTATCCCTGTACTAAAGCACAAAGAGACTGTTTCGGGATGACCCATAGTAAAAATCGCGTAAAAAATTACATGGATTGATTGCTGCTTCATAACAAAGAAGCGCAGACAGTTTAGTGAGCCATTTTGCTTTATTCCATCATATTCCCAAGCCAGAAAATTGTGAGTCTTTGGCTCTAGATGGAAATCCAAAGCATATTAAATAATTATACAAAACCCATTCATCTTCAATCTTGTGGTGCACTTCACGACCCGTGACCTTCTTGCGACGCTGATAAGTCTCTCCATATACATCAGTAAAAGAATGATTCTCTTTCTATATTATAACTTCTTCAAGGTATTGTGAATGGTTCTGTTTCCAGATGACTTCAAAGTTCAAACTAATTCTTTTGAACCCCATTGCTCAGTTAGCTTTAACCTATCTAACATGGCTGGCTACTAGTAATTAGTTGTTAAAGTATGTATGCTCATCATTGTGAAGGATGTTCAAAATATTTATGCTGCCCCAGTTTGCCAAAATGAATCCATATATTGGGTTTTTACGAGATAATTAGGTAATGCAATGCATTTTGAACATAATTTCTTATGAGGATTTTTTTCTCTTTAAATATTTTTTATAATTCTCCAATATTTGTGATTTATTTGTTGTATTTTGTTCCTCATTTACAAGTTCACAACCATTCTCCTTCATCATGAACTGAATACTTGCTACACACCTCCACACTTCCATTCAGGACTGCGTGAGTGACTCCTTTAGAAACACTTTACCACTTCACGTTGCTGCAGCAGAGGACAATCAAACTAGCATAGCTAACAGTGGATCTTTGAGGGACCCGTACAACATTGTAACCATTAATGGTAACATAAATTTACATTTTTTATTCTCTTTTAAAACAAAATAATTATATCAGTAATGCAGTAGAGCTCTATGTATTTTTAAAATGGACAATCCTTTTTTTGGGCCAGATGTTTCACCAATTGAGTCAGCAAGAGCAAGATTTCTGGACATTATTGTAGATCATTTTATTAGCTCACATGTAATTGAAGTGATCGATACGGAGGCAGACTGTGTAGTACAATCTTCTCAAGACAAATTGAGCAAGAGGAAGCCGAGTGAAATTCACCATGAAGGTGATCCTCGACATGTTTTGCCTTTGATGTATGTGGCGAACATGTATGAAACATTGGTTGCTGAAGTAAACTTAAGACTATCTTCCTTGAATGAGTTACGGGAAAAAAACATTGGTGTGGCCCTTGAAGCAGCTGGAGGTTTGTATAGAAAGCTCGCGAAAAAATTTCCTAGGAAAGGTACTAATCATTTTCTCCTCTTCTTCTATTTAGCACTTTAGTTTGAGGAAGCTGTGTTGGTGGGGGTGGAGGGATCAGGGGCAATGTTTCACTCTCTTAATTGAGCACTAATACAGAATTAGCCATGTAAGATTAGTTTTCATCTTCATCTACTTTAGCATATTGGTTCCATAACTTACTGTGTACTCTTCCCATTGTGGGAAAAATATGTCTAATTAGTGAATCCTTTCCCAAACCTGTATTCCCCAGTCAAGATATCTATAAAAGGATGAAACTGATGTGTGTCACTATTGAAAACATACATTACTGCTTTTTATGTTTCAAGGCTTTAGAGTAAGGTTTGGTACAGCACCATAAGATTCTTGCAGCTCCTGCTAGATTCTGCGTGGAGATTTTTTTGTTATAAATATATTGTTCTTGTTAATACAGGACCTTGCATTTATAAACGTCGAGAATTAGCCACTTCTTTTGATACACGGTCAAGGTTTCCTGAACTAGTGATACAGGAGGAGAAGCGTGTTCGTTTTGTTGTTGTTAATGGTCTAGCTATTGTTGAGACACCAACAAGTATGCACAATAATGAAATTGAGTGGTAACTTTTTTCTCATATTTGTTTTTTTCCTTTGTTACATCATTACTATCTCTAATGCCCAAGCATTATTGGATGCTAAGTCGTTTGGGAAAGTCCCCGAAATAGGACTAAAACAGTTTGAAAATTCCAAAATAGGACTGTCATGTTTTTATTCCCAAAATAGGAGTAATTATTGCCAAGTTAAAAAAATACTGCCATGTTTGAAGTCTGGTATTGCCAAAACATGACAGTAATTAGTCCTATTTTGGGAATAAAAACATGGCAGTCTTATTTTTGGAATTTTCCAACCTTTTTAGTCTCATTTCGGGTAATATCTCAAGTCGTTTCTGTCTTCAATCTTTCTATTGCCATTTTTGGGGTACATCTGATGGGGGGACAGGGAGGTGGCATACACATTCGTATAACTTATTACCGTGCTACTCCCTGATACCATCATCCCCCATTTTTTATATATCGCACTGTTTGTTCCCCGTGCTATGTAGTGTATTGGGTATTGTAAATCATCTCTATTTCCCCCTTCAGTCTAAGTTTTTAAAATAAAACATGTCTCAGTGGGTTGCTGTTAACCTTCTCTGTCATATCATGAAAGTTCTGAATAAACAATTTTTGTGTGTGTTTGTGAATGTGGCATTGGAATATTATTACTATATCAAATAGGTGTATCACATGCAGTGGTATATTCTGCATCCTGGATCTAAGTTTATCCGACAGGTAAAAATTCAACTAGAAACCTAGATTACTGATTGCATAGCCAGTTGGATTGACATGCATATCCCTGAACTTATATTTTTAGATTTAAAAAATTAGGATTATTTTTGGTACGTGATCGTCATTTTCTTTTCTTTTATTAATTGATCTTCCACAACTTGCACTCTTCCCCCCCGATACACTATGCTTGTCTGTTTGTAATCTGTAGAGTTAGATGTCAATGACTGTGTCAAGTATGAGTATTCTAGTTAAATAAGGTTTTGTCACTTGAATATCCTGTGAACTATGCAAGATTCAAATGAGACAAGAATGAGCTTCTCATTGTTTCTTTTTACCCCTTTTATGAAATTTTAAAACACAAGAACTTTATCAACACTCATTACAGCTTTATAAGCTTCCAAGTACTGTTTTAATGCTACTTTATCATCACACATATCCAGGTTCAAAAGATTGACAGGTCGTACAGAAGTGTCAGTCTCCCCGAGAGATTACAAATTCTACGCACCCCGACATAAGTATAGACGCGTGGCATCAAGCTCTTTTCCCAGCATGCTTTCATTCTCGGTATAACTATATCTCTGAATCATTTTTTCTTGATGGGGGGGGGGGGGGGGGTAAGTAAGTGGATCTGTGGATATATGAATTTTTGCATATTTTTTAGACTCACGGGAACAGATAGTGGTTCTCCAAAATACCGTTCTGTAAATGTGGTAAGACTTGCACTTCTTCAGTCTCCTTGCTGCTAACTAAGAACTTTATGAGCTAGTGGGCGACAAGGATAGGCCACTACTGCATTTGAAGAAAATATATTTGAAATGCTGAAATACTGTTATATTCAGTTCTTAGTCTATTGATATACGTGTTGCCAGTTTAAGAAGCTCGAAAGAAAATTGGAGCTTCTTCAGTACCCTGAACCAATATTTTGAAACCTTGTGCCCGACTGCGTACGGAGATGTGTTTCATCTTTTGCTTTCTTTAAAGATTTAAAAATTCTGTAAATGATAGTATTTGGAATCCTTGTCAACCAAATCTGAAGGACACACGTTTCATCTGATGCTTTCTTTAAGGATTTAAAAATATGTGGTGATTAACTTACATTTATTATTAAATCGCAGTCACAAAATAGCCATCAGGCGAATCCACCGAAGCAGCACATGCAGCCAACATCAAACCAGGCTCAATTTCATCACTCCCTTCAGCAACACCATATGAACCAAAACCAACACATGACTCACATGTCTCAATGTGGACCTCATTCAGATTTACCTGAAGTTGTGCATTCTCAGTACTCTGCAACCATTTCACCTCACATGGCTCCCTTACAACCCATGGGCCACGTTAATGGTCGTATGCATTTACTGGTGAGAGGAGTTCCTTGTATATAAGTAATCCTCCATCTTCTTTGCTGTTTCACTGTGGCATGTCAGACTTGACATGCAACATTTTTTAAAACTCTCATATGCATTAGGCCTGTGCCATGGTGTTTATGTTTTTTCGTTAAACATAACATAAAAGCAGGCCCTTGCTTGTCTTTTATGTTACCAATACAGCTTTCATCCTTACATAATGTTTTAACATTTGTGTGCCCTTGCTTATGTCATGTGTGTGTGTGTTTTCAGCCAGCTAGTCCTGCGAAGTTCTGTGATGAATGTGGAGCCCCATACTTAAGGGAGACATCCAAGTACTGCTCCGAGTGTGGTGCTAGAAGGTTAGGAATTTGATTTGTGACTGTAAATAAAATATGTAGTATGGGATAAGGTTGTCTCGTCATGTGATGACGTTTGTAAATGTTTGGCATGTATCTTCTTTTGAGGTTGACATTTCTTCTTGCTGTGTATAAAATGAAGGGAAAATAAAATTCATGTGTAATATTGTGTTCAAGGGATCAAGGCACAAAAAATGTACTCCACAAGGAAATCCCACAAAAAGATGTCTGTTAAGAAGTCTGGGCGAGAATTAAAGGTGGTGCTTGGGATTTGGGTTGAAAGTTGAAACAACTATCAACCACACATCTCTTTCAAAAAGAAAACATGAATGTTATTTTGGCACGAGCGAGGAGATTATTTCAAGACAGCAAATAGTTTGTGAAAACGCAACTGCCAATTAGGGATGGACCGGGCCCAGACCGCCGCCACTGTGCGGTACCGGTCCGACCCGGCTGGGACCTGAACCGGGCCTTGGGCCAGAACCGGGAGGGTTTTGGGGCGGGCTACGGGGTGGGGTTTTGATGGACTGGTCCGGGCCAATTTTTATTTTTTATTTTTTATTTTTCCGAGTGGATTGGGTGCTAGGCGGGTGGGGCTGGGTGGTTTGGAGGGGGGATAAATAAGAAAAACCATTTAAAAAAAAAATATAAGACCCGACCCGGGCCTGGTCCTGGAACCTACCCGGGCTTGTACCGGGCCTCCACTACCCAAACCCAGTCCCACCCAAGGCCGACTCAGGCCCGGTCCATCCCTATTGCCAGTTTGATTAGTCATCAGGCTAATAGCATGCGTTAATTGGAAGTTTGAACCCACTAGACATAGTTCCTTTGATCCTATTTACAAATTACAAGGCTTAGACCCCATTTGTAATAGAGAAAATGTGCAAATAGGCCCATGTACTAACAAAAAAAAGGTCAAATAAACCCTTATTTAAGAGGTTCTGTCCGGCCGTCGTCATTTGGGGTGGTTCCCGGTGGAATTTTTTTATGAATTTTTTTATCATCTTATTCATCAAGTCTAGTTTACTCATACCAAATTTCAGCTAAAACTTCAATCGGGAAGGCATTTAAATGAATTCTTGAAAATAACTGCGCAGTTAGAAGTGCAGTTGAAATTCGGTATGAGTAAACTAGACTTGATGAATAAGATGCTCAAAAAATTTCATCAAAAAATTCCATCGGGAACCACCCCAAATGGCGACGGCCGGACAGAGCCTCCTAAATAAGAGCTTATTTGACCTTTTTTTGGTTAGTACATGGGCCTATTTGCACCTTTTCCCTTTGTAATAACCAAACCGACTATTGGATGTTTCTGTTGAAATGTTTGAAGTTCTAGTTGAAGTGGCTGGGTTGACTGATTCTGTTGATTCATAAAAAAATTATATTTAAAATATATTTTATTAATGGGAAAACTGTCAAATAGGTCCTCGAACTTTCATAAAAAAGTCAATTAAGTCTTTCTATAGGAGACTCTGTCCGGTCGTCGCGATTTGGGGCGGTTCCCGGTGGAATTTTTTGATGAAATTTTTTGAGCATCTTATTCATCAAGTCTAGTTTACTCATACCAAATTTCAGCTAAAAATTCAATCGGGAACGCATTCAAATTAATTCGAGAACGCAAAAATGCGCAGTTATCTTCAAGAATTAATTTGAATGTGTTCCCGATTGAATTTTTAGCTGAAATTTGGTATGAGTAAACTAGACTTGGTGAATAAGATGCTCAAAAAATTTCATCAAAAAATTCCACCGAAAACTGCCCCAAATCGCGACGGCCGGACAGAACCTCTTATAGAAGGACTTAATTGACCTTTTTATGAAAGTTCGAGCACCTATTTGACTGTTTTCCCTTTTGACCTTAATTGACCTTAAAATAAAGAAAAAGTTATATGAGAAAATAGTTAAAATAATCCTCTACAATAACTTCGGTCAATACAACTTTACTGTTTTTTATTACACAATTCAACGAGCAAAAAAAAAAAGTTACATGCTTAGAGAAAAAGTTTATCGATAAGCATGATAAGCTAAAAAAACAGAATCACTAAATGGGCTCTTAATCACAATATAGGACAGAAGTAGGACCAAGATTTGTTTGAAAAAAGTGACTAAAATATGTATGAGTTGACTTAAATACAACTTTTGATTTTTTATTTGTTCATTTTATTCTTTATTGTATGATTTCTTTACTGCACGATGGTGTTGCAACTCCGGCATGAAACCCTTTTTGCATCATGATTGTCCCAAATGAGAACAAAGTAGGTGTTGCAACTCTGGCATTGATGATACTATGGACTGCAATCATAGCTCAATTGTGAGTCTTGAGCAAAGTTCATTACACGAGATTAACAAACCAAGCCCATTAATCGGAATCAATTAATTAATAAGCCATTTGGGTCTAACAAGGGATCGTGACCCGTGAAGGGAACCCACATCCAGGTCGGCCTAATTAGCAGAGTTCGCACCTGGGTGGGACTAGCGAAGTCAGATTCACATAAGGCAGTAATTAAACGGAAGAGACATGAACATAATGAGTAATAAATGCGGAGCAATGAGATACGTTAGAAGAGTCTTCTCATGATTAGAACTATTCAATGTACCGCTTATGTCTCCTTCGTCTACTGTATCTTGATGTCTATAAATACTTCATATACTTACCCTAAAAGGAATTCGCTATTTGAAGAATAATAGTGTCTTATACACCACCACTTCTTATTCCTAGTACCCTACAATTTTTATCAATTGGAGAAATAAATATTCACCTCAACCCTACCATAGAGAACGTAAATATTTGCGATTTTTCCCTAATTAAACACAAAAAGTATAAATAAAAATGCACATTCACTCATTCTTATAAATGATCTTTTTAAGTTACACCACCATAAAAATGATTTTTTCCTTTTGTATTAAATATGAGTAAAAATGTTCTGGAATTTCAAACAGGACTTGCTATATATTTTTCAAAATAAGAGTCGCTACTGCAATGATTGAAAAATACTGTCATTAATGGCACTAAATGCTTGACTGTAAATAATATCATGTCATTGCCCCGTAGTGCAACTATTTTGACAGTAATGACTCGAAACTGACAGTAAATACTACTATGTTATTCCTATTTCAGGATGAAAAACATAAAGGAAAATTCTCGAAATATAAGTACAAAAGTTTCAGAATTCCAAAATTAGATTGCCATTTTTATTCACATAATAGGAGTAATTACTGCCAAGCTTTGAAAACACTACCATGTTTGAAGTTTGATATTGCCAGAACATGACAGTAATTAGTCTTATTTTGGGAATAAAAACATGATTGTCTTATTTTAAAATATAGAAATGTTTTTATATATATTGGGGGTAATTTCTTAAAACATAACAATACTATTTCAGAATTCCAAAACGTATTTACTCTTATTTTGGGAACATTTCGTTCTCTTTTTTAATAAAAATGAAAAATAAATTTCACTTTTGGTCCTATGAGTATCGCACTGATTCCATAATTGGTCCAGGCGTCTTTGACTTTCACTACTTTTAGTACGTGACTATTATGTTTTCGCCTATATATAGTCCTTTTGGCAATAATTTTGGTGGTTAAAATCACCGGAGAAGGACAACAAGTGGTCAAGAAACATTAGTCAAGTACAAAAAGTAGATAAAGTGAAAGACATGAACTAAATGTGAAAATGACATAAATCTCGTAGAAGCAAAAATGAAATTAATTGAAAAATGGAGCAACGCATAAAAGATATGCAATTTACCGAGTTGCCATTAATGAAGAACCGAAGTTTTTTTATGTGTATCACACCCTCGAGAAGCCTTGATCGAATTGTTTAAAATGCTTCTCATTATTCAACTTAGGATGCACTTCTCATAAGATCTTTTCTACACACGTGTGTGTAGTGGAGGAGTTTATATTTTCTCCTTTTGCTTTTATAATATATATTTATGTATTCTAATATGATTCGATTATTATTCTATGTTGTAGGTTTGATTTTTTTCTTTTATTGCATTACTAGTTTTCAAGCCCGTGCGATGCACGAGCAGTACATAATTTAGCTAATTGTAAATTTGATATTTTCGGAATCATATATAATTTAATGTGATGCAAAAGGAAAATAAATTCGGTCTAATATAAAGCCGTTTGATAATACTAAAATTGGCCGAATTGTCCGACTCGACTGTAATGAATTAAATCTAACTGAATGGGTTAAATTGATGGAATCTCCCAAATTCTGAAAAAGTAAAATAAAATATACTGCATATTATGTATATTATAAATAAAATAAATTCAAATTTATATGAAAAATATTTAAATTGGACTTCTACATAAGCATCTCAACTAAACATAATTGTTATGAACCTGACTTTAAAGATTTCATACAAAAGTTTCTTAATTAATTTCACATCCTTTATATTACTTCATTAAGCCTCTAAAAACACTATTTTTAAATATTCCTCATTCAATATGTGGTGTGAAATAAGCATTTGTAAATTTTATAAGTGAGATCTTACATTTTACTCATTATTTTTTCGCATTGAAAATGTAAAAAAATGGACCATTTTTACAATTTACTTATTTATTTCGTCAAATTGAAAATGTCATTAATAATGATATTTTTAATTAGATTGACCTTTTCAGTTCTAATTTGGTCCTAAGTAATACATCGTGGAAGATGTCTATTTTATGTATGTATAATAATAATAATTATTATTATTATTATTATTATTATATAATAATAATAATAATAATAATAATAATAATAATAATAATAATTCATGTTTGATCCGATCTTGTCTAAGACTGATAACGGTCCAATTAATAACATCCTAAGGGTCTGTTTGCAACCCATTAAAAAAAGTACTTTTAACTTTTTTTTAAGAAAAAAAACACTTATTTTACTAAATACTATCAACTTTTACTTTCTCGGCTTCCGTGTAGAATCTACTTTTTACTTTTTCTATTACACAAAAAACACTTATTTTACCAAACACTATCAACTTTTACTACTAATCACTTTTTTCCCAAAAGTGCTTTTATTTAAGCAGAAGTGATTGCAAACAAAGCCTAAATGTATGAAGATTTCCCAATTTGGATTGGGAATCTATGTCAAAAGTGAAGGAAAATATAAATTGTAGTTGTAGAAATAAAGAAACAACTAAACATGTTTACTTTTTTGGCTGGGCTAAACAAATTCATATGTATGATATGAATTTCCATTTCCATCCTCATAAAGGTAAGAT